GACGTCGTCTAGGGGGCCTCRGGGCGGGGGTTGCCGAGCTTCATCCGCTCTTCGTTCCTCTTGGGTTGACTTCTCCTTTCTGTCTATGAAGCCACTAAGATAACTGCACCTAATTAGATCTTCGATATGGTTGCGCAGGTTGAAACAGTTCTCTGTATCGTGGTTGTGGTCCTTGTGGAACTCGTAATATTTGTCTTGRTTCCTCTTGTTACTTTGCGTCTTCATCTTCTCGGGCCACCTGACATAGTTGCAGTCGCTGATTTACATCAGAATTTCAGACTGCGGAATATTAAGTGGCGTGAAATTCTGATAGGTTGGCGGAGGGGTGCGAGGACTATGGTCGGTTCGGTGATCTTGTCTCTTGTGGTCTTTGTCCGACCTCTCGAACTTCTGCTCATCGTTCTCTCTCCTTTTTCTGTCGGGCTTCTCATCGTCGTCTCTGAGCTGCACCTGGGCCTCTTCAATGTTGATATACTTCTACGCGTGGCTCATTAGTGTGGCCAACATCTGAGGAGGATTCTTGGAGATGGAGAAGTTGAATGGGGAAGGGCAGAGTCCGTGTTATATAGCCGTCACCGCAGCTGATTGATTTAAGTTCCTGACTTGGAGTGCTTCTTTGTTGAACCTCGCTAGGTAATATCAAAGGGACTATGCCTTCCTCTATCAAACCTGCCTAAGGCCGGCTGAAGTTTTTCAATGCTTCTGACTAGCTGTAAACTATGCCAGGAACTCGGTCTCTAGTTGGGCCCATGATGCTATAGACCTCGGCAGTAGGGAGGAGTACCATGCTAAGGCTAGGCCTTGCAGCGTGGTTACAAGGGCTTTGCACATCTGTCCCTCCGACGCACCATGTAGCATCATCTGGGCTTTGAGTGCCGCGACATGGTCGAAAGGGTCGGAGTTCCCGTCGTACTTGTCGAATTGGGGGGTTTGCCATCCGACAGGGGGTATTTCGTCCATGATGTCCTGGACGAAGGGTGGCTCCTTAGTGATATACGCGGTGGCCTGCACAGGTTGTTTACGGTGGGAATTGCTCTCTTATGGGTGGAAATGCGCTCTAACTCTTCCAAACACTGTCAGAGCTCTTTAATTTCGGCATCTCTGTTGTCTGGGGCTATAGTGTGTATAGCGTCCCTTTTGGGTCATGTGGGGTGATCCTTGATCGAACTTGACTCGACAATAGAGACTACGAAGGGCGGAGTCCTTTTGCCGAGCCTTTCTTTGGCAGGGATGCACACTGACTGGTGTGTCTGGCTATGGTAGTCCCATCCACGGGAAAGGGTAGTGGCGGTGGGCCTTCGGGTCATGTCCTGCCTCATACGCTCAGACTACTCTGCCCTTACGTTTGACCAGTGCGCTTTGGGGTCCTTGGTCCGAGGCTCGTCCTTCGTGCGCATCGGGGCATTAGGGGGGACAACCCGGTTGGGTGGCGCAACACATCCCAGTGTATGCATGAATTCGAAGATCTTATCAACCTTTTCCTGCATGGCTCGGAATTGTGCTGGATCTACTGCAGCCGTGTTAGACAGTGTATGCCCTTAGCTCCAATTAGAACGATGTACCTTATGRCATTTAATGTAAATGAATAAAGTACATATTTGATCCACAGCCGTTGGATAGATCTGGGGAGATTTATCCTGCCAAGGATGACACTGATGTGGCGCCAAGTTGGTTGGGGTGACTTGTCTCAGCTGCCAGGGTGAGACCTAAGGTACATGCAGTGTGGGTTTTTTTGAAACCCTGAACCGGACCAGAATTCCAGTATTGCCCWGGACCTTGGAGGTAGATGGGCAAAACTGGAATGTTACATATGACCCCTAGACTCGATTATGATACTACACTAGGTGTTGAATTGGGTTGTCTTTGATATGCCAATTAGTGACAGTTCGAGAATTCATCTGAGTGGGTGATCATAATGACAGGATCAACCCCTTTATCGGACAAAGTAAATGATTGGGGATGCACTCTCTCTGATGCAAACCAAAACTGTTGGCAGTTGATTTTAATTCCTGGGATCCATGAGAGCAGAGAGTGCAGCACTGTACCTTGCAGCCGAGGGAGAGGTCTTCTCTTGTCGGGTAGTGTTTGATCATTATGGGCTGAGAGGTTAAGTTTAAGACCATTGAGGGTACTACCTGATGGGTTAATCTTGCATCTGCCCACAGTCCTTGGGTTTTTATAAGGTGGCTTGACCCAAGGACCATTTAGTGTAAATGTTGGGCCCATTAAGAGCCCATGGTGATGGACTCAAGGGTTCACTGTCTCCTACAGTGAATTCGGCCAGGCCTTGTAACAGAGGCTGGGTTTAACCCATATGGCTGATGTGTAGATCAATGTTTGGGTCCCACACAATACAAGGATATCCAACTGGGCAGCAGTTTGGAGGATAAGTGAGCACACGGACTTAATGAGCCTGAAGCCCAATTCGAACTGGCTTAATAAGATTAATTAAAGAGGGGTGGTTCTGGGATTTAGATCAGCAGATAGAATAAGGGATTATCCCTATCCACTCAAAGAGTCCAAATCCAAATAGAGATTTGGATCAGGAAACTCTTAATTAGATTAGGAGGGCTGATCTTTATCTGCAGATAAGATAAGGGATTATGTTTATCTCTTAAAGAGAGTCCAGATCCAAATACAAGATTTGGATTAAGAAACTCCTAATGAGATTAGGAGAATCTCTCTTTAAGGCTATAAATAGAGGAGCATGGTGAAACTTCAGTTCATCCTTTAGTTTTACTGATTCAAGAGAGAAGACAACATACAGTTGGACTGCCTCTATCTTCTGCTCTTGCCTTCTCTTGCTATTGCCACCATACCCAGTTCGATCTCCACTCTGGGAGCAATCAAGAAAGGGTTCTTGATATCATCTTTTAGCAAAAAAGGTTATCTGAARTTGTGCTCACTCGCCCTCCATCAGATTCTTGCTGAACAACCATCCTACTGATTCTGCTTCATCCTGCACCGTGTCATCTTCGGTGGAAGTAGTCTTTGGATTCATCCTTGGGCGTGAACACCTTCATTGGAGGTTACTATTAATTCATATCAGGTATAACCCTCCACTCCCTTTTGGCTTCAGATATGGTCTGGTTTAGGTTCAAGATTGATCATTGAAAATGCAGTTTTCTAAAATAGGGAATGTGATTCCCACATGGGAGAGAGAGAAATTTTTGAAATTTCGCCCAACYTACCTRYAGGGTTCGGCCATCCATATGATGGATCTCTCATCCCTTCAGGCCGAAGGTTGTGGGACTTCTTGGTGCGAGGAGTCACAGTGTCGGTTCTCCCGAGACGGGGAATGGCCAACTGATCGTTCAGACTGGTTTTTAGGCATCTTAATCGCTTTCTTAATTGCGCGGTGAGGAATAAAAGATTTTCAGGAAAGGCTTTTTGTTCCATTCCCACAGACGGCGCCAATCTGATGCTGCTCAATCCGAGGTAGTGCACGAACCGAGGATGGCAATCAGATAGTCCTTGCTAGCAGGTCGGGGCCGAGCTTCAAGGACGAGGTTGCACTTTAAGACCTGCGATCAAGGAAGAAGTCAGAGGCCCGAGGAATTACCTTGGATAAATACTCCGACGCTCAAGTCAGTAGGAGGTGGTGGATAGCCAGGCCGAGATATAGAGATGATGATCCGGATGTAGGGCAACAAACAGATCGAGTAGAATAATATATAGGCATATTCAAATTTGATTTGTTTGTATTTGAATTCAAATGGGAACGTTTCCACTAGATACCTAGCAGATTCAGATTGAATTCGGCTTATAGTAGGATATTAAATAGTATGAATAAATTGAATTAAAATGAAATGACTTTAATATTATATTTTATAAACAAAATGAATTGAAAATTACTTGTGTGAAACTTGAATCCATGACAATTTAGTGAAAACATAACATTCGGACCAACTTTGTTGATGAGAATATAATATAATTTTCAAGTATATATGAATTGAAACAATTTGAATTATATCTGATCATATTGGGGTGGATCCATGTTTGATGCAATTATAAACGGATTAAATTTGAATAGTCGTTAATAGGATCAAATCCGAATCCAAATTCGAACAATCAGATATCATTTGCAGCACTGTTCAGATTACTACTAAGGAAAGACGTGACTCTTCTAAAATGTCTCATACTTGTGTTTACTCTGGTCCAGAAGAATATTTTGGGTCGTGAAAATCTCACATGGCAAAAGAAAAAAAAAAAAAACTATTCTTATTGAAGTAATCCACTAATCCGACGCTAAAACAATGGATCACAGCCCTCGATGTACTGATGTGGCCCCACTTTGAATTGGATGAAGTGACAAAAGGTAGAGCTATAATAATGCATCAAAAGCCATGAATTCATTATTTTAGACTGCATTTGGCATTCCTTATTTTAAGTATTTAGTTTAAAACCTTATTATTTATAAAGACATTTTAACTAAAAAAAGATAAATCTTTAAAATAAGAAATGATAAATGCAGCGTTAGCCTACTACTACTCCAATTGGAGTGACTGATTTCACCTCACAATATGTCTCTTTTGATAAGTTTCCTTTTGGGTAAGGGAAACGGAATTTGTTTGAAAACTTGTTGACCCGRAAATAAATAAACTAAACAATCTGCTCTCATGGGAATTTGTTAGATTGGGTCATGATATAMTTTTTGTCATTTTAAACTAGTAAGCAAACCCATGCAAATGTATGGGGTTGAATAGAAATTTTGATTGACAAATTTAGGTTTTGACATTAACAAGGTTCAATGTGAAGTCCACGGTCAACGTAGGGTGCAACTTGGGCGGGCTCAAATTGAAGTTTATTTAAAATTTGAATGGTCCACTCGAAGGCCCAAGCTTGAAACAGTGTAAAATGCTATCGTGGTTTGCCCTTAATCCCATCCAATCTATCTAATTTATACTCATATTTTATTAGAAAAAGTAATGATAAATTTAAGTAAAAAATAAATAAAATATAAGTGGGTTTTTAATATTTCACATGTGTGAAGATGGAGAGAGAGGGTGTGAGGCCTGCTGTGGTGAGGAACCCTTGACCTCCGGTCCGCCACACACTACTCTTTCTATTATGTATGTAGATTTAAGATAATATTCCACGTTTGCAAGCCTCCTCAGGTTTGCCTTGTTTCCATCGGCAAAGCACTAGCCCCTTCTGAACCAGAGAGATAGAAGTATTGAGCTGATGAACTACTGAGGAAGAGTTTTGGTTGAAGGCATGGCGTTTGTAACGACGTGTTTGGTATTTGGGTTCTTGCTTTTAGGATTATTAGGAGGAGAAACAATGGCTTCATCGAATTGCAATTTCCCGGCCATTTACAACTTCGGAGATTCGAATTCCGATACCGGGGGTAGATCTGCTTCTTTTGATGCGCTTCCTCTTCCCTTTGGCGAAACCTTCTTTGGCAAGCCTTCTGGAAGGTTCTGCGACGGCCGCCTCGTCATTGATTTCATAGGTGAGCACAACCGCTTTCCTTTTCTGTGCATTCATCACTTAAGTTATATAGTACCTAGCTCCGCTGTGAGGGGCTGCCGGAGTCCCATTATTGGAGCGGTGTAATTACATTAATCCGTGTCTAGTCACGGGCCAATAGGGAAGTATTTGTGCTTATCTCCAAATGCTGGAGAGAGCCAGCGGGCATCCCTATTTTTAATCAATGTGTTCGATTTCTGTGCAGCCGAACAACTGGGATTACCATATTTGAGCGCGTATCTGGATTCCATCGGAACGAGCTTCCGGCACGGAGCAAACTTCGCTTTTGGAGGATCGTCCATCCGCGTCGGTGGTTACAGCCCGTTCCATCTGAGCATCCAGATCTCTCAGTTCCGACAGTTGAAAGCACGTACCACTGACCTCTACGGGCAAAGACAAGGTTTGTAAATAATGAAGCTTTATCATGACGTCTTGCATGCAGAGGGGTGGGCTCAAGGACGAAGAGACGACAAAATCATTTGTCATCACTAGCCATCCCCTTTCTATGAAAACTCGTTTGACTCGTGAGTCGTGACTTCTGTGGTTGATATACAGGTAAAGCACGAACACCATCGTCGAAATGGAATCTACCAAAGCCAGAAGACTTCTCTAAGGCTCTCTACACCTTCGACATCGGACAGAACGATCTCGCTTACGGATTTCAGCACACGACAGAGGATCAAGTTCGAGAGTCCATCCCTGATATGCTGGACCAGTTGTCTGATGCCATACAGGTAACGTAAAAACCCAGAATGTTAAGCTAGCTGTATATAGAAAAGAAAGATATCGATCGATGCCGGAAACCATTAATGCAGGGAAATTAATGCTGCGAAATTGCAGCTCATGTGTTCGATAATTCTTTCCTTTACAGCAGTTCTGTGACTGTTGTTGTGTTGTTGATGGTGGTGGCCAGACGCTTTACGAGGAAGGAGCAAGAGTGTTCTGGATACATAACACAGGCCCGCTTGGTTGTCTGCCTTACAGCTTTATATATGACCAATCGAAGCCCGGTAATCTAGACGAGGGCGGGTGTGTGAAGCCGGAGAACGATGTGGCTCAGGAATTCAACAGGCAGCTTAAGGACAGAGTGACTCAATTCAGGCTACGTCTCCCTCATGCGGCATTCACCTACGTTGATGTGTATTCAGTAAAATATGAGTTAGTCAGTAATGCAACAAAGCAAGGTACTTACGGTCCGTTTGGTTTATAGGAATTGGAATCAAAATTCTTTGGAATCGGAATTAAAACAGTCTATTGATTCAAATAGTAATGGGAATGAGAATTAAAATTAAGATGAATGAGATTTTATTTTTATCGGAGAGGCAGGGAAAGACCATTCTCTCGAATGGGAGAATGCCACACCAACATTTATGTTGGAAATAGGATTTCGATTCCATCCAAGCAAATAGTTGAAATCAGAATAGCCTATTTCAATTCATATTCTAGACCCCTAGACCCCTATTTCTGAGAACCAAATGGGGCCTTAATTACTACTCTTCTACTACTTCTCTTCATTGGTAGAGATTATAGGCCGAGTCTGAAATGTCACGGTTCTAACTCGTAGCAATGGGCCAATCCTATCACAATAGATCGTGTCAATTTTGTGAAATCGGCTTCAGTTAATACAAAACCCGTTCGAACACTGTACCAACAGCCTTTATACTGGGAATATCTCGGTACGTACGTGCTTTATTTGATGGGAGATATTTCCAATATAAGGCTACGATGGTTGTTTGAACAGACTTTGCTCTGAATGAATTCGGTTTCCAATTATGTCACGTGAAAATTGCCACGGAATGCTGTGTCGGTTGGCTTTTTATGTCACGAGCGACTCAAATGAAGTTGGCTAAGTACCGTAGTTTTGACGAGTGGAACTGTATATGATCCCAAGTCGGAGACCGGATATGCTCCTTACACAGGGCGCTTCACACCGACGAGGCGCCTATGTGAGGAGCATATCCCAATTCCCCAAGTCCCAACCGGATATGCTTAAAAAACGGCGATGATGAGTCTTTTGACGGGGAATGCGCGGTTATCTGTTGCAGGTTTTGATGATCCAATGAAGTTTTGTTGCGGTAGTTATTACGGTTATCATGTGGACTGCGGTAAGACGGCAGTGGTGAACGGTACGACGTATGGTAAAGCGTGCAGTAATCCCCGAGCGCAGGTGAGCTGGGATGGCATACACTACTCCGAGGAAGCCAACCGACGGATTGCCGACCGGTTACTGGGCGGCCAGATGTCGGACCCACCGGTTCCAATAACCCAAGCATGCCGTAAGTCGTAACTCTAAACTCATGGGCCCGTACGTGCCTGTTGATTCTTTGAAGTTTAAAGGCCATGGCCCATGGGCCGGTATCCACAGCTCCACCCTTACTTTTTTAATAGTTTTTTTGGCTATTGAAATGTAATAGTAATATTATCCACAAAAAAAAAGGAAATGTAATAGTAATAACTAATATTATGAAAAAAGTAGAGTAAAAGTGTAAAACCGTAAAAGCTGAGAGGCGCTTATATTGGATTAAGTACTTACTCATGATTAATTATAACTTTTCACTACCAACAGTTCTCCCCCCTCTCCCCTCCCCCCTTTTTTTCTGGCTTTATGATGTGGGCCCATTTGGACGACCTATAAGTAATGTTTGGTAAAATATATGGTTTATTTGCTGAAGTTTTTTTAGGCTGGTTTGAACGCGGTTTAAACACAGGACCAGAGGAGTTCTGCACCGTTGGAGTTCTACACCATTAGTTTAAAACTCGACCAACGAAGAATTTTACATTGATTTTCGTTGGTAATTTATGCTTTATCCAAATGGCTATAGCTACAGAACCAGACCGAAGTGTAAAATTCCTTCGCTCCGATATTTAGACAGCAAACAATTGCAGCCTTAGTGACTGTTTTAAGACAGTTCAGTCAAAATTACAGCACTCACAAACCTTTGAATTAAGGGTAATTCTCTTAAAGCATTTTTAAGGTATAGGAAATTGAGTAACTATATCTTTACTGTTTATATATTCTTTTTGAGTATTCTTAATTCTTCTGGCAATTAACTAATTCTACCCCTACTGTTATAACGCCATCACATTTCGTTTTCATTGAAAATCATTTGAAATCCTTGTATTATCATTTGAGCTTTAGGCTGTATTTGATTGCAAAGCAAAAAAATTTGCACACATGCAAAACCGTGGTAGTGCATTGTTGTTTCTTCTTTAGAGAGGAGACCATTGTTTACGGTTTTTCATTTTTCCCTTCCTTCCAAAATCAGCTTTTAGAAGAAGAGTTTTCAATTGGGTGTGATGGAATTAGGCCGCTGCAGATATTGTAATTAGTTTGGGTTGAGCATCTGTGGGTGACATTGAACAAATAAATTGCTGCACAGTTATAGAAAATTCCTCTGGATCTCCGGATGATTGAAGTTGAGCAGGTTTGTTTCTATCAACTTGTCTCTTGGAGATCAACAGATTGCTGCACAATTTCAAGAAATTCTTCTTGATCTTGGGATGATTGAAGCTGAAAGGGTTGGATTTGATATACTAAAGACAACAATGGTAGACAAAGGCCCTTCACCGTTTTGACCTCTTCATGGGGTTTAATTAAAAGATTAAAGTATGATTTTAAATCTTTCTGTGAGAATTTCGAAGGTAAGACATGGTATATATTTAAAATTTGAAGAATAATAAAGGATAAAATAAATATTTTA